GACATCATGCAGCTTCATTTTGAATCAGCAAATTTAAGCCGAGATGTAAAAGCAACCAAACTAAGGACCTTTGCCCCATCAAGTGAACCCTGTACAAGGTCAAGATGTTTGTGCTACTGAGAGGAAAACCTGTCATTTCTGCAATACATAAATTACATGGTAGTAATTGAAGACATGGGGGCTGAAATGCACAACTGCATTCTTTCGATGGCTCTTATAATATACTCTACCCTGAGGATTTTGTGCAAGTAGGGAATGAAAGGCTAGAGGTTGTGTAAGCAAGGATGGTGAAAGAAATCAAATATTTCCTTAGAGACTTCTTTTTAATTAATCAAATGAAATATGTTTGTAATATCTCCAGTGCTGAATGCTTTTGATGTTTTATTCAAAAAGCCACACAATGTCTCTAGGTTACAGTAAAGGCACAATAACTCATGCAGAGGCTTAGGAGCATAGGATGGTAGAAAACAAGTATAATAGGGCATTTTTGTCCCTCATTGATAACTGCATCCACAATGTAATACCAGTTCATTACTTCATCTGTGGTGGTGCAAGACTGGAGAATGATTTAAGCAGAAAAGATTCTGTTCCTTAGAATATGAGGCAAGCAGAAAAAAAAACAAAACCACAATTACAGCAGGAACACCAGTGTCTGCAAAGGCAAGAATTTGTCAAGTGAGTCTCTGTGGCTGGATCTACGCTACATACAAAGGGGGAATGGGAACAGTGCCTTAAGCAATGGCACGAGACCACCTGTACTATTTAATCGCTTATCTATTTAATCGCTTGTGCAGACTCTGGCATGAGAATACCCACTCTGCCAGTGGGTATTCTCATGTGCTGGGGGCTATTCCTCATGAGTGGTTTGGCTGTGGTTTCCCTGGTTTTGGTGCAGGAACACTGCATGAGAAGGCCCTGGGGCCAGAGGTGGCTCCTGGCTCACGTAGTGTACAGGTATGGGGGTGGCTGCCAGTGGCTCTGAGGTCAGGCAGCACCTTCACCCATGTGATGTGGCATCCCTTCAGGGGAGGGTCTTGCACGACCTTATACGATTCCTGTATCCTTTTAAGTGTACGCTTTGTAAAGCTTCACTGTTTACCATACTTGACTGGTGAATATTTTCCTTTGATCTGCTTGATCCTGATGATTTCCTTTTAGACTGATAACAGGGATTAGAAATACAGCATCCTGTCACCTTCGTTTATTTGTGCAGGGTCTCCTCTTCAACAGGAGTTCTGGCAGTTGTGAACACACATCATCAAAGGCTGGACATGTATTTAAAATCAGTTTATATAAGTCTTGGTTTTCAATTTCACTCCCCTGCATGGTTGTTAAATGCTCTAGAGAGCATTTGCAGCCACACCACCAAAGACCTCTCCAGTCATCAAAGCTCTCTCAGGTTTGGATTCCATTTGCAAATGCACATATGTAGCTGAAATAATTGCTGCTGTTGCCAAGCCACTTTGGCAATGGCAATAAATAGTTTATAGGCAGTTTCAGAGGACTGTTGCTATCCATAAATAAAGCCATTTATGTAACAGTTTTGGTCATACTGTTCTAAGGCTGCTATGACAAAATCCTTTTGGGAGATACCTGTGCCCAGCTTAAGTGTTTTGCTTGTTGTCAAGAAGCTCTCTAACAGGCAGCAGGGGAGTGTTAGTAAGCTTTTGTTACTGAGTAGCCTAAGAGGAAGGCTACTACATTTTCAGTCATGTCAGTCTCTTAGCTGCCTCTCTGGATTAGAAACCTCCCTTTACAGGCCAGTTTCTAATTGCTAATGTTTAGTTTTTTTCAGCAGTCTCTTTCTGATGTTTTTGGCCCAGATTCCCACCATGTCCTTTATCAGAACTCCATCCGCCCTTGAAAGTTACTCTGTTGACTATCTGTCTTGGATCATCCTCGTACCTTAACAATTTATCTTCCTTTCAGAACCCTCTACATACATATTTGTTTCTCTGCTTTACTTTTACACAGACTTCAGCGTACCTCACCATCATAGAGAGGTAGTTCCTCCTCTACTTGTGGTAAGAGAAAATAATCTACAATCCCATATCCCATATGATGAAAGAAAAATGAAGCAACTATCTGAGTGTCTTCTCTTGTGGAAGGGGAAGTTCCTAGTGATTATTTTTTCATTACATCACTAATACAAAGTTTTTACACTGGAATGGGTACCCAGTACTATGTTGTCACTGTCCAAAAGGTCTATTGCAAGTGTCATTTCTTCTCCCCCCAAACATGCTACAGAGATGTAAGAATCACCAGAAGAACCAGCTGTTCAAAGGTATTGTTTTGTGTCCAGACTCTCATCCAGAAAGGGCTGGCTTCTAGTTTGGCTTGAATATCAACCTACCAAAATAATTAATTCTTTGCTGGAGAATACTTCAAAGAGGAAACTGGAGAACCTGACAACCAAGAGATATTAATAAAATGCTGCAAATACTTTATTTTCACCCAGTGAAAAATGCAAGATGTTCGAAACTAAATAAGTCATCTCCAGATCCTTTTCATTGAGCTGTCAAATGCAGAAAGCATATCAAACTATGAAATTGGTAACACACCAAAAGAAGAAGAAAAAGAAATCAAAGTTGGTAGTGCCTGACTTTTCCTGCAATGTAAGGGTAAGGCAGCAGGGAGCTGCCTCTCAGCAGTGATCACACTGGACATCTCTGATGATACTAGTCCTAGAAGTAGCTGGATGAGTTCCCAGAGTGGAAACTTGGCATTTCCCTAAAAGCTGGAGACAATGGAAGCTGTTCCTTCTGCCACAGATGAGAAATTGGTTGTATCTGTTGGCCCCAGTTCATAAGGGTGGACTAGTAGCTGGAAACCGCTGACCAGGAAACAGGCTGCACTCGCCCTGAGGAGCGGGAGGATCTTTAAGGGTTTACGCACAGCAATGAATGCTCTGTTGTTATTATCTTTTATGTACAGATATATCCAAGGTACCGTTTATGCCACCTTTTCCGTGAAAGGGAGACAATAGGAGGGAACACAATCTTCTTGTGCAGATCATTGCTATTAATGACAATACATACAGGACAAAATAGAGGACACGATGAGGAAATGTTTCTGTGACAAATGGGTTGATGGAAAACTAAAAGGATGCTTGAGTGAGGTACAGGCTGTAGAGCTAGAGCAGAAGTGAGCCACTGATACTCCAGGACTGTACTCAGCGAATTACTCTCTTCTTAGGTCACTTCCAGGCACAGTGCAAGTTACGGGTGTTTAACCTATGAAATCACTTCTGGTGTGTTTTTTGGGAGATACTTACGCTATGTAAGTGATTATGTAGGAAGACTAAATTTAGACAGGGTAACTTCAACCCCACTCTGGTACCTAGAGCATTTCTCACTTTCCATTGTGGAGCAAGTGGCCTTGTCCCAGCTCCACATCAGCATAAGTCCCAGGCCCATGTGCTGCAGCTGCCATGGGACACAAGCCAGGCCCTGTGCCCCAGAATGTAGCAAGAAGTGGTGAGCAACCTGGATAGCAGCCTGGTGGCTGGTACACCCTCACTGTACCGCAGCCAAATTTGGAATTTGTGCATCTGAAAGGTCTCTGCAGGGGAGGGCTAGCCTGGAATGATGACCTTAGCAAACACTGTTGGTTTGTCTTGTTTGCTCTCCAGGAAATGTTTATTTACCCAGGCTTTTCCTGAAGAGATGTGTTGCGTAGGACATCCTCAGTGGAGGGATGGGGCATTTCAGTTCAATGGGTATTTGGCAACCTACATGTCTGTGATAACATGTGCTCTTAAAAAGGAAGCAGACACCAAAATTGCACTTCTGTCTAATTAGTTTTACCACAATTGTTGGATGTAACATGCATGATTGCCATTGTAGAAAGAGTTTAAAATTAAGTCTCTTTACTTGGATCAAATTATTTACATTGTACCTTTCCCATACAGTCAGAGTCACTGCCTCCTGTTGTAGCCAATCAGTTTTTTTCTCTTATTTTCTACCTGGGCATCCCACAAGAAAGAACAAAACGTTTGTAAGTTGGGAAAAATGTGAATGGAGAAACCCAAATCTAAATTCACTGGCGCAGCAGTACCCCCAGAGCTGTGTGAGTGCACCTTTCAGTGCAGGGCCCATCCCTGGGGTCAGACTCATCTGGTGCTCTTGCTCCTGCCTGTTGGAACGCTGCTTTCACCCACTTGGGTGGTCCCTGGTTAGGGGAGTCACTGTCTCTGTTTTGGCAAGCTCTTGCAGATGAAGATCTCTGTCTGGACACTGGCTAGTTTAATGCCAGAGAGGACCTTAGCTAGCAAATGGAGAGCAGAGGGGGGCAGCATGGGAGGCAGTGTGCAGGAAAGGCTATGTTCTTGCCTGCTGAGGGGTCAGAGAGCCATTATGACAAAGATGCACTTCTTCACTTGTCAGAAGTTCTTCCTACATGTCAAACACCCTTTAGAAACCAATACATAAAACCAGTAACGCTGGTTTTGTTTGCTAAAGCCACCTGCCTTACAGAACTGGATACAACCCTGTAAAACTTAAAGCACCCAGTAGTTTGTCTTGGTGGCAGGTGATTGTATCCCCGGTGGAGGTAAGAGGGCATTTCCTAGCTCCTCAGCAAGCTCCTCCGCCTGAGGGGGCCAGGGCCCCGGAGCAGTGGTGGCCATGGTGCGAGCCCCACCAGTGAGAGGCGGCAGGTCTGGGCAGCAGCCACAGCCAGTGCTGGGAGAGGGGGGCTGTGGCAGCAGAGCTGCTGCAGCCAAACCTGTGGAGATGCATTTAGTCTACCCGTGATTTTCTGTAATGACCCCTTTTTCTACCAGTTGCTTTCTATGTACCACTGACACAAGATTTCTTACTAAAAAAAAAAAATCACATTGGCATGCTCTTTGAAGGAGGCTATAGCTTTCTTGTGTCTGCCCCCAAGTAACAAATCTTTCTGCTTTCCAAACCCAGGTTGCATTCACAGTGTAGGTGTGCAAGAGCATGAGCTGGCTGGGAGCAGCGTGCAATGGCAAATGAGGCACGAGAAACTCCTACCGTCAACCATGGGTTTGGGCTGCGAGCTCTTCAGCCGCAGTGAGGGCCTGAAGCGGGTTCGGTCATTGAAGCTCCAGCTCTTCTGGACTTTGGTTGGGCTGCCCTCAGCGATGTCGGCACTTGGTGACCGGCGATCTCCAACTGAAGACTGTCTGTTCTTTATACTTTGACCTCGTGGGCTGGCCATCCGGACCCTCTCCTTAAAACTTAGCTTTTGACTGTGAAGAAGAGAAATATATTTTATTTCATAGTTCCTTCACTCCATTACTTTTTTGTATCATATGATAATCAAAAATAATTTCTAAAAATGCTCAATAGTATGAATCTGTTTCTTACACACTTTTATTTTCATTGAATATATTTCATTTGGGAATGAAATTGATTTGATGTAATCTGTTTCTCATAAAGGCATTATCAATGGCAGTCTGTCTTACAATACCAAATAACCTTGTAAGGGAGATTTAAAATTAATAAATAGAAACAAATTTCACCCAATTATAGATTAATCTCTAAGATTTTTTTTTTCTATTCCTTGTAGTTTAAATAGGTTTATTTCCATGTTAGTCAGCCCAGCTCAGTGCATTTCTGGTCATGTCTTCAGATAAACAAGAACAAAATGTATTCTATTATTACTGCATGCCATGTAGTATTGTTTGGGTTTTTTTTAAGCAGGCAAAAATACTGTTAGTATATTCATGCTTTTTCAAGATGTGGCACTTCCAACATTTCATATGCATTGTTAGTGATCACTCATATCCAGAATTCCTTGTTACAGCACTTACTTGGACAAGATGAAACCAAAATTAACAAAACATCAAAGAAACAGCATGATGACCAATTAATGGAAATGTAATGATACACTGTGTGCTCACTAAAGTAATTGCTGGAGATTAAGCTGGGAGCTGACTACCTGCAGGTGATACCAGACAGGTGCTTTAGGGCTGGTACAAAAGCCCAGCCAAGCTCATGACTGTAACTGCTGGATCAACAGTGGTCCTGTGGTCTTATAGTTGGCCAAGTGTAAGCTGAATTTTTTTCCTCCTGTGCTTATAACTCTCCCCTCCAGTCAGCTAAATGTGCGATATATAGATTTTCTGCTTCCCGGTGCTTAAATTACCTTTGTTCATGTTCAAACATACCTGATGAACATCCTGTGGTCACCATCTGCCTGTGCTTTTTCATTATTTAACATTTTTGACTTTGTTTGTCTCTTCCTTTAGCAAAAGGCACAAAGGGCAAACAGAAGGGAAGTCTGATACCAAGGTTTGGAAACATTGTTTTATCTACAAGGTTAAGTTTGATTGCCTGTACAAGGGAACAGTCATCTTGATCACTGGCCCTGTTCTTGCAAGGGGAAAAATGATGGGAGCAATGCAGTAGTTGCTCATGGTGTGATGTTACTGGCTTCTGCAGTCCTACTACCCTGGCATAGGCTTTGGGGGTCCTTTTATAACACCTATAGCAAAGCCTGTCTACCTGCAAATTATAATCGTACTTGAAGTGAAGACACTTTCTAGTAATTTCAAAGGCTTTCATTTAACTTCGGCATGCCCATAAGATGTTTTAAACAGAAATGAATTCTGCAGGCATTTAATTAATGCTAACACTGACTATTAACTAATGTGAACATGGACTATGTGGTTCTTAGATGTTTAATCTACCGCACTCTGAAAATACAGTGTTAATATGTAATTATATGAAATGGAAGGTAGTAATATACTTCTCTGGCTGTGAAATGTTGAGATAATCAGATATCTTTGTCCATGCACAGCATAGCATAGCATAGCATTTCATTCTGAATACAAACATCACCGAGAGCAGAAAGGATGCAGTCTGTAGCAGGCAAAGCACATGCTGGGAAGCTTATAATGAGATAATTTTCAAGAATGCTGAAAAATGAGCACATCAGTTGAAAGATTATTAGATAAATGTATTTCTATATGGCATGTTGAATCACTTGAAAGAATACCTTTTCTGTAATTTCTAAATGTAATCCCCCTTCTTCCCTTGCCCAAAGTAAGTGATTGTTGAAATAAACACATCATGGTGCTGGAAATGTTATCTATTTCCATTGCAAATTGTTACCCAGACCTGCAGTACTGTGTGCTGTTGTATATGCAATACAAAAGACCCACAGAACCTACTATTTGAAAGAAAAGTAAGTTCTAAAATTTAATTTTCAATATAAATTACAATTCAAGACTGAATTATGTTTCAGCTCAGGAATCTTTTGCATTGTACATTTTAATGAAAATACAAGCTGTAAAATATTTATTACCTGCATTATTGCATTGTCATACTATACAGCATGAGAAACAGAATCAAAATGGACTTCTTATTATAGATATTATTCCTAGGCATGTGTCCCCTGTGCTTTTCTGAACTCCTCTTATGGCTCAAATCGCATTTGCTATTGAAGTATGAAATCAAATTATACTTTTTTTGACAAATTTTAGAGTAAAAAAGTTTCTGGACAGCTCTCTTCTTGTTGCACTAATTAAAATGAAAGGAAAATTGATAAAATAGCCATAAAAATGATCAGTGTGGACCATATTTTTATAATCCCATTAATTCCAAAATAAAAATTTAAATTAAAAAAATGAAAAAAGTATATGTGTTGTTCTGTCAATTAATTTGTAGTAATGAAAGCAATGGCTGCCTTGAAATAATTTTTACACATGGTTATTTCATTTATAAAATCTGAATGGTACACAATGGCTACTTAACCTGAATATCTTTAGTTCTTCAAATCAAAGCAATGAGGCAATGGTGAAAGGAACAGTAGACACTTCATCTGTACTAGAGACATTTTTCAAAAGTGCAACACTGAGAATGAAAATATGAATTTAAAATGCAGACTTCATACTTAAAAAAAAAAAAATCTGCTTTGTAGCAATGGAAATGTATTGGCATGCTAAGGGTCCATGCGGAGGATGCTGCATCATGAAGAGAAATGCAGCCCTTGAAGGAAGCATGGTTTGGAAATTCTGTTTTGCATCTTGAGAGTTTCTCCAAATACACTTGTTACAGCAGTTCTTCACTTCTTGGATCCCTGTTCATGTTTTGAGACTGGTGGGAAATGTTCCTGAAGTCACTGGGTCCTACTCAGCGCAGGCATAAATTCTATGACTTGGTGCAGTGGACAATTCATGCTTGGGAGAAGAAAGCTGCTGTCCTTGGGAGCATGCTGCCATGGGGCTCTTCTGTGTATGGTAAATAACACATCATGAAGAAATAAATGAATCAGAGCATTTTTGGAGCATCCTGACTGTGGCTTTTTCCCACAATGAAAGTCCCTTTCCTTATAGACAATACAGTTCCTGGCTTTAGACTCTCTGTTGCAACACTGGTAGAGATGTTGTTAGAGATACAGAGTGGAGATAATCTTATGTCCTTTCAAGTATCTCTGGGCATTCTGCACTTGAATCAGTAGCCACTGAAGCCTTTAGGGCCCTTTACTCTGATTTAATGGTTGTTGAATTAGCACTGTTCAGTACCTCTTGCAGGACCTAGCCTACTATATTTTTCTCTCTCCCCTCTTTTTACATAATGTCCAAAGGAAATCCCTTGAATTAACATAATCCTGTTAATAGCCATTGGAAGCTCACATATCCCTCCAAGTACTCCCAAACTTTAAGTTGAATGTTGGTCAAAAAGGCAAAACCCATGAATCAGGAAAATGGGTGACTAAATGCTGTCTGAAATTACACAAGATCCCTAATCAGACCTAAATGACAAGGATCTGAGAGAACCACATCTGTCAATAAGTAATCTCTGCATTCTTTTAGATATTTGTCTGTCCATCATTTCTTGCACCTGACATGATTTATCCCAGTTTGGTATATATGCATTTTCTTTCTACTACAGTCTTCCTTGCCAATGGTAATCTCTTGTGACCTATTGCTCCTCTACTCTTGCAGGTTGCAAGCTGTGGAATATATTCACGTCAATAACACTGGAGCTTTGAAAGATCTTTTAAGGGAGGTCAATTACAACTGCCACTTGTGGGAAAAAAGCACGTGACTTTTCCCTATGCGTTTGCCTTCTGGAAGGTCTGTTGCAGGATCTTACTGCTTATTCTTCCCATCAGTACATGCATGAGCTGCTCACTTCCCTGGGATAGCAAAGGACTTCTGTATTTTTTGATTCTTTTAAAAATTCTCTTTTCCACCTTTGATTCAAAAAGAAGTAAGTGTTTAGGGACACTAGAGGTCACTGTGGCTTCACTGCAAGGGGAACAAACACTTCTCTGCTGGACCAAATGACTAGACTTGAAAAGATTTGGCTTTAATTGATAAATGCCTACAAACCTTTGCTTTTCTCTCTCGTACTCACAGCTCTGTCTGTCTTCCATGGACCATCTTACTATACTTTTTGGTTAACTGAGCATCTCTTTGCTTCCCAGTTCCACTCCCTTACATCCTGCATTTCTGGTCAAGTTTATCTTCTTCCCTGCTACAGTCTCAGACCTGCAGCACTACTGCTTGATACTAATCATAGTTTATGATTTGTTTGCCAGTTTTTCATACTGAGCTGGCTGGTGGAAGCAGGAATAGGAAGAAATTGAAATGAATCAGAAGTAACTGAAGGCTCTGAAGCTGAGGGAAAATGCTTTGGATCTCAAGTCGGAGACAGAAGCTAAAATTGCCAAAAACTTATCACCCATGGCAAACAACAGCAAGCAAACATATGTGCCAATTTTCATTGGTTAATTTCCGATAAATACAGATGTTGATTCTTACCAAGCCTACAGATGACTTTACTGAAATTAAGCTAAGTTGAACAAATGCAAATGCAATGGATAGTACAGTGAAGACTGAGGTTCAAATATTCAAGACTTCTCCACCAGTCTCATGCTAGGACCATGAACCCAAGAAATGTAGTGTTATATCTCATACCTTCAATGTGTAATAACAAGAATTTCAGAGACATAATATCTTAAAGTTCAATTGTCAAACAGAAAAAAATACATGTTGTTCAGGGGTTTTGTGTATTTTTTCCTTTTTCAAAACAGTTTCCAGATGAAGAGAAACTGATTTTTATCTCCGTTTTCTATCACTGGTTTGTACTTCTATTGTCTTTTAAATTATTTTTAAAAAGTAAGAAAAAAATTGTAATAAGCTTGAGTTATAAATCAAGGGTTTCTTCCCATAAGATCCATCCATCTAGGAATTACCATTTTTGGTAAGAGACACACTTTCCACAGAATTCAGCTGAAGCAGATGGTTGATTTCACATGCATTCCTCTACCTTCCAGTATAGGATGCAGGCACAGCTTCCACAGGCTGTGTCCAAGGGGATTCTTCTCAACAATTGCACATTTCGACTGTTGGTATTGCCTAGTGTGTTATAGCTTAATATTCCCCACTAATCACTCAACTGTCATGGTTATAAAAATCCTCTTGGACTTGGGGAAATGTCTTTACCCAAATATTCAACCCCAGTTTTAAATCTTCGCAGGTTAATGCATTCCAAAAGTTCAAGTCTCAGGCAGAGAAGGGGTGAACTGGGCTGTGGCAAACTGCGGCGTGCTGCACACTGCAAATTGTCCGACCGTGTGAGCTTCAAAGACCTGGTATTATTGCCATTGTATTAATGTCATTGCAGGCAACAAGCAACAAGGGAATTACAAGCACTTAAAAATAAATAAATTAAGAAACCTTCTTTGGAGAAGTCAGGAACTTTAAAGCACTACAGAGGAGAAGTAAATGAATCATGCACCTGATGTTAGTGGGCATTCTCAAACACCATGTGAATAGGCAGGATGATGAATACCTATGTTTCCGGGGGGTGTACATCCTGAAGAGCTTCTGTTTATTACTACAAAGCTTACTAGGAGTGAGGGGAGATAGAGGACCATGTTACTAAGCATTCCACTGCTAGGTGAGGGGTTAGGCTTTCCACTCAAGTTAGATTCTGCATCATTGGCATTTTTTTTCATATGGTGCATGCAGAGAGTTTACATGAAATCTACTTTTAGAAACAGATCTGGTATAGGAGGTGGAGAGAATTCCAGAGTATAATTTACTTGTTTCCCTCAGAGCAGGGATGAGTTTTCCCCCATGCTGCTATATTGGCAAAACTCCTCCTTATTGCACCAGAGAGAGTTCTATGAATAGGGAATTTGTATTCAGGCTAACTAGTTGCAACACTAGATGGGTGATGTTCACCCTTTGCAGACACCCAGTGCATGTCCTCCACACAGCTTAAGACTGCTTATGCTCTCAGGATGTTCTAAGATTCATCAGTCTTGATCTAGTTTCCTGCACAGGAAGAATTTCAGCCATGTTGTATAATTTAACAGAAATTAATATTATTTGCATTCAGCATGTGCATTTGTAGATATGGAGAACTTAATATATTGGCATTTTAAATGACTTACAGAACTCTAGAACTGATTTACAGAAATATCTCATTTACAGTGTGGATACACCAGAGAGGTCACCTACCATTACTTTTGATAAATGATTAATTAGAATAGTTGTATATAATATTTGGAGAAATACAACAGACATGTTTTTCTTAAAATCAGTATGAAGCTACAGCCTCATAAGTACAACTCTTTCAACTCAAATGCACAGCAACATTTAGTTACCTAATGAAAGACTGTAGGTCTATACATGACAAAATGCAAGAATTAATTTCTCTAAATATAAAATTAATTTTGGTAAGAAAGAAAATAATTAACTTTTACCTAAAGTAATAGAAGTTTTTTTCCACTGGTATTAGAATGGAGTACATAGCAAAGAGCATATTCAGAAAGCAACCCAATGCACTACTTGTGCAAAGACATCTTCATTTAAACAGTGAAACAAGAAAGTTTACTTGTCACATAGCATCCCATGCAAGTCACTCAGCATTGCAGGAAGAAAGAAGTTAAATAGTCAAGACAGTTATCTCGAAGTATGTTGCAGCAGTTTGCATTTACATTTTTGCCACAAAAGACCACATACACCACATGTATTTTAAGTGATACAAACATACAGCAATATATCAGCATAACAGCCTCAGACAAAACACACCTTTTTTAAAAGGCAATGAGTGGTCTATAGGATTTTTACCGTAAACCAGGATCTCAGGAGTTGACTAGTTCATTTCTATACCTACACTAATTTGCAGCAGTGCACTTAAGAGTTGGAAGGGACAAACATCTTCCATTCAGTGAAAATAAAGTGAAAAAAATCTGGCTAAATCATTGACTACTTTTAAAACTACAATGGTTATCACTAATGTGGAGCATGCAATATAATTTTGACAGCTGGGTTTTTTTTCTTGCATCTAGCTTCTATTTATTTTAAGTAAATTTGTCTCTTGCAGGTACAACTGGGAATAACTTCTCCCCTCTGCACAAATCACTGTTTTGGAGGTACGTACTCATTTACTGCCTACTTCAGTCTCACCTTTAGAAAACCTTAAGTCATTTTTAAATGTTGCTGTTGAAGGAGTAGGAAATATGGCTGTCAAGTGCAAAAAAAGTTCTGATCAGGCTGTAATAATTTAATGAGATCAATATGTTGTGAGCAAGTCTATATGAAAAGTCACAGAACTGACAGAGCAAGTAAAGTGCTCTTGAGGAACATCTCAGATCAAATCCAGCCCCCTCGAGTTACTGTGACACTAACAGCAGTTACATGCACATTGGGGAAAAGGATGGAGACAGGCGCCGGAGGAGCAATCTGGAAAGTGGAATGGGACATGGGTAATTGATGTGAAGATATTACACTCCTGCCTGTGTGTGAGGTGCTGCAGTGCTCAGACTCCTCACAGGCGATGGAATAATCCGTTAAGAGTTTGTGAACCACAGTACAACTCGAGGGTGGGTGTGTTTCAGGGGTTGATGTGTCATCAGTGCATTTCTTCTTGGCTTTCCATTGTTTTCTGCTCAGAGTTAAACTCCACTATTCTCTGATCATGCTGATACCGCAGTGCCAGCTGCCGAACACCTGCTGACTCCATCCCTAATGAGTTTTGGAGGTAGTGCAATTTCTCTTGTAGCTACTGAGTTCTTTCCTGTCCCTAAGGGTTTGAGCTATAAGGATGGCAAAGAGCAGCGTTTCCTCTTACTGCCTTAGGACTTTATTTACCAGTGAGGAGAGCCCTGCCGAGGCCTGCCTCTGTGTGCTGTAGGCAGCTGGTCCTCAGCCGGCATCCAGGCTGGGAGGAAACCCCACCTGCCCTCCCGGCCAGCAGCATCAGGGCTTACTTAAGGAGAGAGGCCAGGCAGCGTCCTCTGTCTGAACAGGGCTGTGTGAAAGTGCAAACCGAGCAGCCAGGAGGAGGTCAGCCACTGCAGCGGTGCTTTCCCCCCACCTGCTGTGTCCTCAAAATGCCTCTTAGGAGGGGACGCCAGGAAAAGGTTAGGAAACATGGAGACATGGCACTGGGGAAGCCTTGAGGATACTCCCGCAGGGCAGCACAGACCCTTGCCGAGCTGACTTCCAACCAGAACCAGCTCCATCGGGGGTTCCTCCCCCTGAAACAGAAGGCTGGTGGGCTTGTTCACAAAGCCAGATTCAACCATTTGCCTATAACTTGCACTGAGAATCCTGGAGACTGCAAGCATCAATTTTATGGCAGAAGCTGGGGGCTGCATCCTTGCCTGGGAGCTGCATCTGGGGAGGCGGCTTCACTCTCTACTCTGGCACTGTTTGAACTGAGCTCCCCCTCAAAGTTAAAACACGTGGCTAGAAAAGTAAAAAATTACCTAATTTTTCAGTACAAAAACTGAAACAAAGAAGCAAATTTCAGCAGCATTAGTCTATTGACATGAGTTTAAAAAAATGAAATTTGTGATTATTATCAGTTAACAGTTTCAGTTCACTGAATCTACTGTACAGAACCTGAGACATCTAAACGCCATTAAGAAGCAGTGATTTCACAGACAAAAGAAATAAAAGGAACTACAAACCTGCTAGAAGTTTCTCCTTGTTCTTTTCTTCAGGTCAGGGAGTGGGAGGGAAAAATATACTTGTTATGCAGATAGTAATCACATTACTTAGTTACAGATGATGTTAGATATATGATAAACGTAAATGGATATGATAATTAGTGTACAACACACACGTTACATTGCAACCACAAAAACATTCAAGCAAGACTCGTAACTACAATGCTTCTGAAAAAGAAACTTTTCAGTTGTTTTAACACATGCACAACATGCTTAGTACATACCACTGCAGACTGAGTTGGCAAAGCACTTAGGCAAAATGCATTGCTGACACATATATAACAGAAAGCTGTAGGCTCTTATTAGATAAAGTTATCTCTGGTAAATAAAAAGGTTTAATTTTAGGATAGCACAGTAACACACATTTGAAATAACAAATAGATGCACTTTTGAGGGTCAGTCATATTTTAGAATATTTTAGGTGGGATACAGCTTCATTATTTGTGTAATTTTATATCCATCTGTTTATACTGATGTTGCCTTCAACCTGTTTGTATATGTCAAAAATCAATATCCCATGTAACTTTTAATCTAAAAGCTCCATTTAGTTTGGAACTTTTTGAATTTACAGTTATGGTAATGGATTGCTTATGGCTCTGTTCTTGTCAACTCTTTGAAATTCAAAGATCAGTTTTGGGTACCCAGCCAAACCTCTTTTTGGCTGAGCTTTTTGGCACACGATTACCTTTTTACTGTCATGTGGATGTTCATCACCCAGCTTTGAGAGAAACCACTAATTCTCTTGCTCTGTCTGCAATAACAACAGTTAGGATGCTTATCAGAGCTTTCTCATAAGGTTCTTAGCGCTCTCCTTTTTGATCTTTATCAAGTATCTTTTACTTCCTGACTTCTGCCCCATCAATTTACTACCTTCTGGTAAATTTTGTACTAAATTATTGAAGAGTCCTGGGCTGCCAGTGCTCTGTGAATTCTCACCCAAACTAGGACATCAAATATTTCCTGTCTGCCGAACTGTGACATCAGGTCTTTTTACTTATCTTCCTGACTGTGTGTATAACTGAGGATATATTTTGTCCTAAGGAAATACTGAACATATCAGAAGTTATGACGAAAAGGGCCAAATTCCACAGTGCATTCACCCCCAGAATACCACAAGGCTCTCTTCCCTCGGAAAGGTACATCTGTAGCTGTAGCCTTATACAGAGCCACAGGCATAAAAATGGAATTAAATCAAGGAACAAGCTCTGCATTAAAATTAACATTTTCCTCCTTAGAGATAATTTGGAACTGGGTGTAACATTAACCTTGATATATCAGTGGGTTTTGGGGAAAATGTTTCTAATGCCTGTGCTCAGTGATCTTTCTTAGAAAAAGGCCAATGATTTGTATTTGTCCCACTGTCCTAGGCTCCTAGATAATATTGATCTGATTTGTTAGTTGAAATTTTTAATGAGAGGACTTAAGAAGACAAAACAAGACAGAAGAGACAAATAATAGTAATTCTCTATAAGCTTGAACAGACATTGAGAACATCACCAGCTGCCATATTTGTACCTACTTTGTAGGGCTGCAGGTATGCAAGGCCTTCAAATGAGGCTTCCAGGTAGCAATGGAAACCGATTTCTCATCAGCCGCATAACTACGCCATACACACTACGTGCAGGATATATGGTAAAAAAGAAAAAAAACAAGGCAAGAGGGAGCAGGGGATGAAACAAAAAATTGAAAAGCAGATTAGTAACCAATACAAGTCATGGCTTTCTTTTATCATTCATAGCACTGATACATGCCTGAGGGGAGGAAGAATACTTTCATAATATCGCCAGGTGGCTGTCAGGTTTGTTCGGCTGGTGTCAGTAGAATAAAACCGCCAAGAAGCCTGGTATGGGGAAACAATAGAAAAGCACAAAGGAACCAAGAACATGAAGTGACAATGCCACCGCACTGATTACGGAGAGAGGGGATTTTGCTCAGATTGGGATGTGCTCTAATGGGTTGATTAAGGAAATACCAGTAACAACCTACCAAAACTTTTGTGAATCACAGTACACTTTACACAGTAAAGTAAGAATTACCAGCTTTGTGGAAGCACCAGAAGATATTCATCACATAAAGGTGCTCAAAAAAGCATCACAGTGATTTATTTGTGACAAATCCATAGGGGACACCCACACAAACTTGCAGTCTGAGGTAAAGAAAGGGTCATAATACTTTTTGTAAACGATAATGAAAACCAGACAAAAAATATTTAGAAGAAAACAGAAGTATTCTCTGTGGTTTGAAACAAATGTTTAAAAACAAAAAATAAATAATTTCAAAGGTGAGTATCCACTATTGGGTTTTATAACTGCACGTAGATAGTAAGACAGATCCTCGGTTCTACAAACTGCAGCAGCTTCCCTGATGTCAGCATACTATATTAATTTGTACTATCTTAGTATCTGTGCTTCCTATATATTGTCAATCATTAAATGTCATCCAGGTATTCTTGTACAGAGTCTAATACCCTGTGTTTTCCTACTGCATATCTCCCAGAAATACAACTAGTCTTCATCTGCAGATGGAGAACCTGTCACTTTGTAAACCGTTCCACTGGTTGATCATTCTCATTGTCAAAAATCTCTGCATTGTTTTAATTTGAAATGCTTGTTGTTTGGCTTATAGCCAAACATATTGGTTGTGTTTCTGTCTGCTACATTAAATAGTCCTGTAGATTCCAGTACTTCCTCTCTGGACTTTTATGTTCAAATAATACTCACACTGAGTATTTCTTATAAGCTAAAGAAATTGAGAACAGTATGTCCACATGAAACATCTCAGTCTCCTATAGAGATCAGTCAGGTAAAGGTTCTAGCAGACAGCGTATCTATGGCAACAGAGGAGTTAGCACAGACTAATTCTACAGAGTAACTGTTTAGAAAATAGACATTATCCTGATGAACTAGAGCACAGTGATTTCCATGGTAGCTCATTATCAATAGCCACAACAGACAATTTTAAAAAGCCTGGGCACTGTTACAGTAGTCAATGATATGTAGTTCAGACACATTCTGCATTTATGAACATGAAATTTTCTCCAGTCCTGGACTCATTTTTTCCCAATGTTTTCTTTGTTTTCTCCTATTTTCTAGTCTTATTTACAAACTGTAGATGCTGAGTTGATATGTAGAATGTTAGCATCACTATACACAGTGGTAATACCAGCCTCCTCCTAGTTGTTACTTAGATACTGGCTCTGTATTTAAGGACTGTAACAAACCAGCTGGAGTAACATACTGGGAACTTGTATGAAGGTCTTGACCCTTCTTTCCCACTCTTTCTCTGTGTTTCTCATCCTTTGTCAAATCCTTTCCAGAGTCACTAACACTGGGATAGAGTCTTCTTGTAATAGTCTGAATTAATTGTTTCTAGATCAAGTTTTGTATTTGGTGTATTAAGACATTTGTTAGGAACCATTCCACTCTGTAAAGTCCACAGATCATCCTTGGGTTCATTCCTGTTTGCCCGTCCTCATCTTTCCTATTCTGCTGGTCTTGTGCTCCATCAGCAATTTTATATTAATTTCCAGATCACTAAAATGCTGAACATGAAAATGAACACGTAAATGCTGAAAAGCCTTCATCATGGGATCCCACCACAAATGTCTTCCTTTCACAATGATTTTGGCCACTGAGAGTCACGTTGGGAAATCAGTCAGCCAACTACTCTTATTAGCATGATGTCTTACTAATATTTTGGTTGAACTGTCATACAGTAATAAGTAGAGCTACATCCAAAACCTAAATCTATTGTGTGTTTCTTCTGGCAACCAAACTTGGAAGAAGTAGATTAGAATATATATATATATTAGAAAATATCCCAGACAGCAGACAGATACAAAAGGAGTGGATTTATATTTATTAATTATTCTAATAAACATTAAATCTCAAATATTTAATATTTAATAATAATTTAGCAGTAATAATGGAAAACATGTATTAATTTTAAGAATGCTTCAAAGACAGCCTGGCATCTATCCTGAACTTATAATGGAACTCTAGTATATTCATGCTCACCTTCTTTATTTGGATTCATGATTTCAGAATTTAAAAAATCAGCATAAATGGTACACATAAACCACTTAGGATCTCAAGAAAATAAACTAGGACACTAGAAGATTATTTCCCTCCTTTTTTTCTTCAGTGCATCAAGCAGAGTAAAGCTTGGTGCAAAATCATTCTTTAGAGGATTTTCTCATTTTTAACTAGGACTGTAAGTTAAAGAAAAAAACACGCAAAACAGCTGTTTAACAAATATGCCAATTTTGCTTTAAAAAATCTTTCTCGGTTGTTAATACACACCATCATGTCAATACTGGAGCTGAAACCACTTCAGACAATTTCAGACATTTTGGAATTGCTAGCACCTACATTTCCAGCTTTTGAATTGACTAATAGTGAAGCAATTCTCCTGGGCAGGGGACTTTTCATTTTTACTAAATATATCACTCATTGGAACACTCCAAACCCTGTAGTAGATGAAAAGCAGCTTAATATAGGCAAGAGTGCTGTGTCTATAGCGATCAGTTCTATTTTTCCAAGTAATTGCCTAACTGCAGGAATGCAACAGACATCATTGACTTGGTTTATTCAGTATGGATAGAAGAACTCAAAAATTACGCATAGAAATGCAATATATACAATTATGGCAATAAATGGCAATCACTGAACAAACTTATTTCATGAAACTAACCAATCTGTTAAACATTATTTCCACAAAGCTTTCCAAATTCAAATAATAAAACTTGCTCCAATATGTACTTTAAACCACCTACTATTATCTTTTCACTGATTCCATATTTACCTGAATTAGACTGGCAGCTGGATTCCTTCTTTTCTCAAAGTGTTTCTGACGATGCTGTTCCTGTACTTTTAATGCAAATCCTGAGCCAAGGATGCCCTGCAATACAATATGCCATTTATTATCATGCAGGTAGTTTTTTTCAACAATGTGCGTAATCAACTACAAAGATTTCGTGAAGATGTTATGATATATGATTGCTTGAGATAACACATGTATGACAGTACATGACAGTATAAGGTTTAACAACAGTGCCCCTTTCGTGGTGAAGCAGGAGACTCCTTATTTAAGAGAGAACATCTGTGGTGCTACTAGTGACCACTCATTCTAACCATTACTTGGGTTTGTGCTACACTACGTTCCTCCAACTTTAAAGGGCATGGAGATATATATAGATATAAAATCAAGCAGGAACATTCAGAGGAACTTAAGCCAGGAATGATGAAATGACCAGCTGCCAGATATATACGGACCTCAAAGTCCATATCTGCAGTGCTTATAATAACTTTTGATTTTAGAAAAATTAGAAAATGCCTTGCTTAACAGATTAAGACTATTTCTTCTTACTCCTTCCCATCTAAATAATCCCTGTTGTTCATTCTATAGGCTATGAAAAAAGCTGATGATCAAACCTCTCCTTTTACTTTTGAATGAAGTAAGATAAATTTGACTCCAGGTGAACAGAGCCAAAAAGTGAGAAAGTTTCTCTCATTGGCTTGCAAGGAGTGTAGTATTTTTGCTGAACATGTCTGCATTATAAGGAAGAATATTTCCACATGATTCTTAGTTAGGATAAAATACTATTAGAAATGCACAACATTCACACATATCTTGTTTTACAGACAGATTCAACACAAAAGTGTTTATGAGGAAAATGAGTATCTGTACATAGATACCACACAAGGAACAAAAGTTCTGGCATCTCTAATATGTAAGGTTATTCATCTTTTAAATGTTCATTATAAACCTGCTAAGACTAAATTTCTTGTTAGTGGTGACTAGGTGACAAAGGGAAATAATTACAGTAGCTGCCACTAAATGTCAAATATTCACAAACAGGTAATATGTCAGAGATACTGAAATACTCTCTGTACTTAGAATAATAAGTAAATGCAGTACACTAGATGATTCAATGCTATTGGCAAATGCTGACTTCTAATCTAGGTTTCTTTATATGGTCGAAAAAACCCTGTATTATTATAATATACATGTTTTATAGTGATCTATAGACAATGAATCTGAGTATTAATATACGGGTTTTCTGTATATGTTACCCTGGATGCAATACAACAAAATACAAATGCAACTTCTGTTTTCAAGCTTATTCAATACTAATTTAAAAAATAAAGGCAATTTACTTACAAAAATTAAAAGTTATTTTTGAAGCTACACTATATTTTAGTCATTAGATGATTCCCATTTCCATTAAAGTCTCTTGAACATTGATAAAAGCAACATATATATAAACAAATAAACTGTCATGTTTGTTTACAATCACTCACAGAAAATGATAGTTGCATTTTTACATTCAACACCATTAACTTTTGGTTGATTTAATGCCTTCTACTACTCTCTGTTGGTAGCCTGAACATGGTCATACAGCACAACCTATTAGAAATATCTAATTTTTTTCCCCCAATAGAATCTAATTCATAAAAACGTTATTTTTTCAAAAATCTGAAAGAAAAGCAGTAATAGATAAGCCACAATTTGTAACAAAAGAAAGGAATTTTCACCATACACAATAGTATGCTACCTAATTTAGGATTACTTCCCAGTTTTGTCCATGCCAAAGAAACTCCCCAAAATTCAAGCAGTGACATCAAACCTTTTGTCTGGATTTTGGATAGCAGTTCGCTAGTGTTATCACAGACCAAAAAGTCTTAAACAGTTGTTCTTTATGTAGAGATCTTCCTTCAACTTTTTGTATTTAACAGCATTAGGAGCTACAGAAGTTTCTATTACCTTTTTACAAATTTTATAGCCATACTCACAGCAGGTAGTGCAAAGAAAGAAATTCCAAGTAGAGCAAATCCTGCAGAAAGCAACCTTCCAAGCCAAGTAAGAGGAGTTTTGTCTCCGTACCCAATGGTTGTCAATGTGATCTAAAAAGAAATGAATAAACATTGTGGTTTACCAGAAGTCACTGAGAGATTAGTTACAGATTATTTACATTGCATGAAACAGCATTTCCACTAAATAATCCAAGACACATGAAATATATATAGTTTTTCTAAAAGAAAAACAACATAAATAAATTAATATTAATACATTTTTCTGTGAAAAGAGGACTTTTTACAAGGGCATGTAGTGATAGAACATGGGGTAATGGCTTTAAACTGAAAGAGGGCAGATACAGATTAGATGTAAGGACGTAATTCTTCACTGTGAGGGTGTTGAGACACTGGAACAGGCTGCCCAGAGCTGTGGCTGCCCCCTCCCTGGCAGTGTTCAAGGCCAGGTTGGACGGGGCTTTGAGCAACCTGGGCTAGTGGGAGGTGTCCCTGCCCATGGCAGGGGGTTGGAACTAGGTGATCTTTAAGGCTCCTTCCAACTCAAACCATTTTGTGATTCTGTGATTCCCTCTTGGGGAGTTTGGACCCGCTCAACTGCCTGGTCCAGGCAGCTAGAGGAGGTGTGGGCAGAGCGGAGGATTTCCAAAGGCTGGGTGGTAGGCTGCAGAGTGCGTGCTCAGGCAATGGCACACAATGTTAAAGGACAAAGATAGACAACGGTAGGCTGAATGCCAAGGACTCCAGGGCCTGTTATTAGCGGAGAACATGTGCACAGAGAATTATTTTACATCGTGTACCAAATGTGGGCAAGTTCAGGCTTAGCAAATATTCTGGCAGGAATGAATTCTTCAGGAAAATGCCTTCTAGAGACATTATTTTGCTTCCAGCTTCCTCAAAGTTCATTCCTAGGCAAGACGGCCAAAGCAATTCTATTTAATGCTGGGGTCACCACAGGACAAAAGAAGGAAAGTCTTTTGGAAGTAATTAGATTTCAACTATTTAGGGCTCTGTAGATAGTAAACAGTGCTCTTAATTGCTCCCATTGTTGGGAACAAGCTGTGGGTGTAATTTACCCTGAGAAAGCCATAGTGACTGAAAGAGCGTGAGCTGAATTAAGGCTGCAGCTGAAATTTCAAGTGGTTATCAAGTCTCAAGTTTTGTAATGCTATAGCCCGGTCACAGACACACCACTTTGTGTGCTTATCAGGTCTTGGTTCTCCTTCCTTGCTTCTTTTCACTTCCCTGCCTCTCTTCCCGACTTTTGCTGGACTCTTTGGAGAGCCAATGCAACCCAGGAAGGTGGAGAGAATTATCCACAGTTCTGCATGGTTTGTTTCTGCTGTTTCAGCAAACTGTGTTAGCTCGTGGAGGTGCCTAACAAGCTCCAGAGCCTGCAGAAGGCAGTGCGCGGCTGGGATTGAGTGATAAGGAGGAAGGGACGTGGGAATGCAGCTCCCTCTTTTCTGGCAGAGGTGTGCTGATGCAACCGCACTCTTGGCCTGGCAGAGTGGCTTGATTTGGATTTCCTTTGTTTGCTGAAGAAGGTATTCCCAGTTCTTCTCATCAGAAGGCAAATGCAGAACAGTTTGAGGCTATTAAGACCCTGAGAGCAACAAAGCACTTGACCAAATGAAGCCCTGAATAAAAGTTCCTCAAAAATCATTTCCAGGCCAGTCATTGCAAAGCAGTTTGAAGCTCTGGAACGAGCCCAGTTTCTTGGCTTCTGTTCAGCTCCCTATCTCTGCCAGACCCTGGAAAGTATAGATATCTCTCCTGACTGGGCTGACAAGAAGGAAACAGAACTAAGTGTCATCTGCATATTAATGATATTGCCACCGAACTGGTTTCTGAAGAAGTCAAAGATAAACTTGAACCTTTGAGATCTGACATATGTGAGCAATCCAAAACCAGGAGCAGTCATACAGACTCTATCTCTGGAATTTCTCCAAAGAAAATAATAAGACCGTACTAAAGCCTTTCCCCCGTTCTTTGAGGTCCTGAGTACTTAATGGTATTAGTCTATGATTAAGAATATCAGTGGCTTCTTGCTCTCTTTGAGCTGTTTTATCTCAGGACAGTCTTTACATGGGCGTATAGGTGTCAGCACCATGCTGTATTGTCTTACTCAACACAGAACAAATGGGTTTGATCTTCATTTTGTATTCCTCTCATTACACAGCTAAGAAAATATTTTTTTCAGACAACTTCAGGATCAAGTTCAGGAATAATCCTCTGCATCTTTGTTAGTGCTGCAAGTGAATGACTGAACCACTGGCCAGGCCCTGACTGGCATAATCCTGAGGTTAAGTTAATTGAACAGGGTGTGGAAAACTACTGAATGTGAGACCATGACAACATGAAAAACTTCCAGATGTCACTGATAATAATGTAAGAAGCAGACAGAAGTTACAGATAGCACTGTGAGGGAAGGCTGGATCCCATGGGTGGTTAAGGGAGCAGTGACAAAAGTTCAAAGGTGACAGGAAGAAATTATTTGGGACCTTTTGGAGATTACAGTCTTGCAAGGACAACAGCACCTAGGTGAATACATCAGTGGTATCATACAAGGCCAAGAGTGACTAGGTAACAGAACTACAAAATCTGTATTGAACCTGTGAAGGTAATTAGGAATAGGTTGTTTATTTGAGAGGAGACTTGGTTAGAGGAAGCAAAGTGGTGAAAAAGAGGATCAAGATACAATAAAAGAAATAACAAGGTGTGCAAATCATGTCTTTCTGGGGATACCTGCTGAGCAATCTTGTGTCTGATCACTACAGCCTAAATCAGGACAATAAATGAAACCTTTTAGATTTTTTTTGTACAGGATTCATTTCACCCAGCTTGAAAAATAAAACGCTTAGGTGTTTAGCATGATCTGGTTACTGCAACATGCACAATTCCTCTGGCAGGTAACTCATCCTATCCTAAAATGTAGGATTTAGGCTTGCCTGACAACAAATGCCTAGTGACACCTGAGATGCCGTGGGACATCTGAATAGAAGTCACTTGCAGGAGAGACAGCTGACTCTCCAACAGATCATCCATGGCACTGTATGCCTATGTTCAAGCACTCCTATGTGGCTAAATGAGCAAGCTGAGTCCTGTGTTTTGTACCAGATGCAACACTCCATTCTGGTTGCTTCTACAAATGAGGTGTCTGGACAGACCAGCTAAGGCAGGCAGTGTCACCTGATAGACTCAAAACTTGCAAAAATGATAGAACTTCTGTTATAGCTCATTGCTGGAGATAATAAGTATGTTAATAATAAGTGAGGTAATATAATAATGAGTGTGATTATATAACCTAGGTGCCTTCAAATAGATGAGATAGGACCCAGGAGGCTCCCCTCTACCCTAATATTTCTTTCTGATGTCACTTTACGTTCTGCTAGCAGTACTTATGTTTTGAATCTTTACCTGAAATCACTTAACTGAAAAAAATGTAGTTTGCTCATGCTGCCATTACATTAAATGAGAAAACTGTCATCAATATTAACTCATCTGAGCTAAAAATTGTGACAATATTATTCATTGCAATATGGTATGTTCACTTACAGGTCAATGTGGAGTGCCAGAGCCATTCTGTATCCAACTGTAACTACTGCATACTACTTGAGAATAATGACTTATTAAGAGAAACTCTTATCAAATGTGTAAAGAGAGACAGGAATCTTATTTGCATTACATTTACAGGTAAAACTAAATAACATGCAAACTAAATGCCACTATAAGCACACACAGTTCTAGCTAACACTAGGTTCTCAGAAACCCATGCATGGTTTTGTTTTGAAATACTTAAGTTTTTGAATTGACCTTTTGTTCCTGTATAGTTTAGTTACGTTATTCTGTTAAATTAATTAACCTTTTCTACCAAAGCAAATTTTGAACCTGAGGTCTTCATATAACACATGCTGTTGTGTGCTGCTGTGTTAGGCAGCACTGTGGGGTCCCCAACCACAAGCATATTCATAATAGTAACATTAGCATGATGTTTAAACTGTAGGTTGCAAGTACAATATGCAATTGCAAATACAGTGGAGTATTCATATGTAAATTAGGATGCGAGATCCTGCCTTTCATTTCAGCGTAAAAATAGGGGCTTCAGAAATGGAGTCAGTGAAATGACCATAGCAGAGTATAGCCCTAAATAATCTGAATTAATGAATTGGTTAATTGCTGCATGCTGGGTCTGGTCCTGTAAGGAGGGGACATAAGTGCCTCTAAAAGCTTGAAATTTAAGGCGACTATTTGTGTCTGACTTGAATGTGGTATTTTTTTTCTTGTACCTCTGCCATCGCAGAATTCAGTCTGGGATTTGGTAGATACTCTGTGGTTTAAGTTAGAACAACTTTTGCAAATAAACAAATCAATGAGACTAAGCATTGATTTCCCCTAGAATGCCATACAATCTGACCTTTTCAAAATCTGCATGTGGGTTACTCTGGCAGTAAAAACAACTATGACTAAGAAGCACATTATGCATTTCCCACATACTGTTTTACATATTATACAAAAAATACTATTATTAAAATGGCAAAGATAACAGGTAAGGGGGAACACTGATTTTCAGTAACTTAAGCACATTAAAAATTTAAATGTATTCATGTCACACACTGGGGTAAGGAGAAAAGATATAGAAATATACAATATGGATTGTTTTCAGTTTTTTGATTACAATTTGTTGTTTTTCCTGCTGATGTCAAGAAAAGATTCCTATTTTCTCAGTTGCGCTACTTATCTGACCTATGAGTCATACATTTTCACTTCATAGTGTACAAAATATTTTAAGCACCACTTTATACAATGATTATTTCTTAGCAGGGTTTTTCCTTAAAAAATAGCAGTCAGCAGGTAGTGGAGAAGCAAGTTCTAAAGTAAAGACTTTGTTCCTCCTGCCAGAGCTGCTCCGGGAGAGGGATCTGGATTTAACATGAGCCTCAGTCAGATGTCAGAGTTGAGGTCTGAGTTTGCTGGGACTTTCCTGTTCATCGTGCCTATGTTTCTCCTCACTATTGCCTGCTGGCAGGTGGCTACAATCCTCTGCTTAGTCCAAACTCCCTGCCTATGCAGTGCTAAGTCACACATGGCTTTACAGAGTGGCAAAGGTTGTTTACCAGAGAATCAAATGGCTGAAAACATGCATTCCCAGACCCATGCACTGCCACAGGAGGGTCTCTTGCACAATCACATCCACGCTGCCACCCCCAAAGGGTTTTTGCAGACTGCTGGCGACAGGGTACCCATCAGTGAGGACACCAGCATCCCAAGCCAGATGCTTCACAACCATGTCAATATAGGCAGGTTAGAAAGCTCTAAACCAAACCCAGACCTTGGCTTTTGAAGAAACGTGAAATGAAATAAACTATAGTGATGCGACTGAGAGGAAAACCTTCTCTCATAACTTTAACATGAATTTTACATTTGGATTACAGGATAAAAATGTATATTTTATCAGAGATCTGCCTTGATGCTCTAAGGCAACAAGGTTCAGGAAAAATATTTCTGTATATTTGTAAATGCACAAGTAAGACCTACTAGATCTGGCTTTTCCAAGCTCCAAATTTTGTGCAACAATAACACAGAAATATAGTCTCTAGGGAAGACATGTAACGTATTATTAACCCTTAGATGAACAAATTTCAATTATACAAACTAGTCTTACTAATAGAAAATTACCTTGACCTTTGCTCAAAATCTAAACAAAACTTACTAAAAATATTTCACAAGGATTTAAAGCATTTTGGAAAGGGCTTTTGCACAGCCCATCTATGCATACTACTGAGTCCAGATGAAGTCTCCTCAGCAGACGGTCTGAGGTGAGAAAGATTCTGCACTCCTGCATTCCTCTGATGAGAAAAGGTGGCAGAGGCTGGTTCAGGTGTCGTTCTTATTCCAGGAAAACTAATGAGTGCTCTAGGTTATAGTAGCTTTAATGATTTCACAGGCATTATTTCACTACCCAGACACTGTTAGAGCTCATGGTGTTTGCATCAGAAGGAGAAGAAAAGCACATTTTATAGTTAATGGCAATAGCTCTGCCATAGGCTTTGTCGGGGCAGATTTCTTAACCTGCCTAAGTCAGTCCCACACTGTGCAGGGGCCTAGCTCGCTATAGGGCATTTTAAAGCAAAACTCCCTATATATTATGTCATGAAAATAATTTCAAAATTTCAGGCCCAGTTTTTCATCGTTCATTTCAATCCTGGTTTATTTAAATACGTAAGCATTCATATAATCCTTCTTTCGGAAAACCAGTCAGGCGTGTACTTAGATCCCACAGTTTTCAACAAAGTAAAAACAACTGATTTGATAATTAAACGTGAGCTCAACTAAATCAGAGGTTTTACCCCTGTAAAAATAACACTGCTGAACCAGAATAGCAAAATTTATTCTGGCTTTTTGTGTTCAAGGTACAGAGAAAGGAGAGATGATATCATTCTTGGGGCAGGAGTTAGCTGGGCTCATTGAGAGAGCTTTAAACTAGATTTGAAGGGGGAAGGGAACAAAACTGGAACTCCCAGATGTAAGCCCCAGGGTAGATTACCAGACTTTGTGGACTGATGTGCCAGCGATGACCCTTACTCTGCCATCTCAGTAGAGGCAAGGGATGGAGACATGCAGCACAACAAAGAAGCAAGGGATACTGATGGATCAGTAACTGTGGTAACACCTGTGAAAGGTCAGGGCAGCCTTAGGACCTCTGAATGCAAAAAAGTGCTGGGGACATCAGCCCGTCTGAAGTGCATCTATACCAATGCACACAGCATGGGTAACAAACAGGAGGAGCTTGAAGCCATGATGCAGCAGGAAAATTATGATGTAGGGGCTATTACAGAAACATGGTTGGACTCCATGACTGGGGTGTGCCAGCTGATGGCTACAAGATCTTTAGGAGGGATAGCCGAGGAAGGAGAGGTGGTGGGGTGGCGCTGTATGTTAGGGACTGTTATGATTGCTTTGAGCACAAATATAGTGAAGACAAAGTGGAGTGTCTCTGTGTTAGAATCGGGGGGAAGGCCAACAGGGCAGATGTTGTAGTAGGAGTCTACTATAGGCCACCCACCCAGGACAGAGAGGTGGATGAAATTTTCTATAGGCACTTAGGAGAAATCTCTTGCTCGCTCTTGTTCTTGTGGGAGACTTTAACTTCCTAGACATCTGCTGGAAATACAACACAGCAGAGTGAGACCAGTCCTGGAGATTCCTGGAATGTGTGGGAGATAACTTCCTGACCCAACTGATGAGAAAACCAATGAGAGAAGGTGCCCTGCTGGATCTCCTCTTTGTGAATAGAGGAGGACTGGTGGATGATGTGGCAGTTGGAGGCCAACTAGGGCACAGCTATCATGAAATAATAGAGTTCTCTATTTTTAGAGAGGTCAGGAGAGGGGGCAGCAGAACTGACATCCTGGACTTAGATAGGGCTGACTTTGCTTCTTTAGGCAACTACTTGCCAGAATCCTGTGGGAGACGGTCGTAAAGGGTGGAGGGGACCAGGAAGGCTGGACACTCTTTAAGAAGAAAGTCTTAATAACACAGGATCAGGCAGTACCCAGGTGCTGTAAGAGAAGCCAGTGCCAGAGAAGACCACCCTGGCTGAACAGGGAGCTTCGGCTGCAAATCAGTGAGAACAGGAGAGTTTACAGCCTTTGGAAGAAGGGGCTAGCCACTCACAGTGATTACAAAGACACTGTGAGGCTATGCAGGGTGGAGATCAGGAGGTCTAAAGCCCCACTAGAAATTAATCTGGCTTCAGCAATCAAGGACAACAAAAATATTTCTGTAAGTACATCAACAGCAAAAGAAAGACCAGGGAGAGCCTCCATCTGCTGCTAGACTCAGGAAGAAACATGGTAACAAGTGATGAGGAAAAGGCTGAGGTGCTCAATGCCTTCTTTGCCTCAGTATTTAATAACAAGATCAGTTTTACTGACGGAATCCAGCCTCCTCAGCCAGAAGACAGAGACTGGCAGAACAACCCCCCTGCATTACAGGAGGAGACAGACAGTGACCTGCTGCATCACACAGACACACACAAGTCTATGGGACCAGATGGGATACACCCGAGGGTGCTGAAGGAGCTGGCTGGGGTGTGCACCAAGCCACCTTCCATCATTTCCCAGCAGTCCTGGCTGACCAGGGAGGTCCGGACAGATTGGAAGTTGGCTAGTGTGATGCCCATATATAAGAAGGGTCGGAAGGATGATCCAGGAAATTACAGGCCTGTCAGCTTGACATCGGTGCTCAGGAAGCTGATGGAGCAGCTCATCCTGAGTACCATCAAACATCACATGCGGAAGACCAGATGCTCAGGCCCAGTCAGCATGGGTTTATGAAAGGCAGGTCCTGCCTGACAAACCTGCTCTCCTTCTACACACAAGGTGACCTGCTTATTGGATGAAGGAAAGGCTGTGGACATTGTCTACCTTGACTTTAGTACGGCCTTTGACACTGTTTCCCACAGCATTCTCCTGGCAAAACTGGCTGCTCGTGGCTTGGATGATCACACAGTTTTCTGGGTAAAAAACTGTCTGGATGGCCGGGCCCGAAGAGTTGTGGTGAACGGAGTTAAATCCAGTTGGCGGCTGGTCATGAGTGGTGTCCCCCAGGGCTCGGTTTTGGGGCCACTCCTGTTTAACATCTTCATTGATGATCTAGATGAGGGGATCGAGTGCACCCTCAGTCAGTTTGCAGGTGACACCCAGTTGGGTGGGAGTGTTGATGTGCTTGAGGGCAGGGAGGCTCTGCAGAGAGACCTGGACAGGCTGGAGCCATGGGCTGAGGCCAACTGGAGGAGTTTCCATAAGGCCAAATGCCGGGGGCTGCCTTTGGGCCACAACAACCCCCAGCAGCGCTACAGGCTTGGGGAGGAGTGGCTGGAGAGCTGCCAGTCAGAGAGGGACCTGGGGGTGTTGACTGACAGCCGGCTGAACAGGAGCCAGCAGTGTGCCCAGGGGGCCAAGAAGGCCAATGGCATCCTGGCTTGTGTCAGCAATAGCGTGGCCAGCAGGGACAGGGAAGGGATCTTACCCCTGTATTCGGCACTGGTGAGGCCGCACCTCGATTCCTGTGTTCAGTTTTGGGCCCCTCACTACAAAAAGGACATTGAATGACTCGAATGTGTCCAGAGAAGGGCAACGGAGCTGGTGCAGGGTCTGGAGCACAGGTCGTACGAGGAGCGGCTGAGGGAACTGGGGGTGTTTAGTCTGGAGAAGAGGAGGCTGAGGGGAGACCTCATCGCCCCCTACAGCTCCCTGAAAGGAGGGTGCAGAGAGCTGGGGATGAGTCTCTTTAACCAAGTAACAAGCGATAGGACAAGAGGGAATGGCCTCAGATTGCACTAGGGAAGGTTTAGACTGGATATTAGGAAGCATTTCTTTCCAGAAGGGGTTGTTAGGTGTTGGAATGGGCTGCCCAGGGAGGTGGTGGAGTCCCCATCCCTGGAGGTGCTCAAGAGTTGGGTTGACACAGTGCTGAGGGATATGGTGTAGTTGGGAACGGTCAATGTTAGGTTAATGGTTGGACTGGATGATCTTCAAGGTCTTTTCCAACCTAGATGATTCTGTGATTCTAAGGGAGCTGATGATACTCTCCCCTTCACCTCAAAGCTGATGTAAGAATTTTTTCCCTCCTTCTTTCCTGACACTTGTTCCTCTTCCTGCATTATTGCATACAGCCCTCTGATTTAGATCAAAGCAGCTCTTTGTGGGACTCTATTACAAACTGTATTACTGAAAGATCTGGGTTAAAAAATAAAATTCTTTCTTTTCTTGAAGGTTTAGTAGTCTGGTTTGCAGAAGAAGCACATAAACAACTGTTCTGCAGGATGGAGTGAAATGAACTATGGATGTGCAAATGAATAGCTGAAGGGGGGAGCTTCTCAGACTAGTTTTATGTCAGTGAAAACAATGAATTGAACAGCACACTAAGTTAAAGTTCACAGTAGGTGAAATTCAAAGCACTCTAGCATACTGGTTAAAGAGTGTGTATTAATATTTTTGTGTACTTACTGTGCCCCACCAGAGAGCATCTGCGTATGTGGAGAATTGATTATTTGCATCTTTTTCCACCAGATAAACCAGGAAAGATGAAAAGATGAGGACTAAAAATCCTATGTACCAGGCTGTGATTAATTCCTAGATAAAAGAAATCAGAGATCAATATCCATTTGAGACTGGACAGAATGGCATTTCAAGGAAGACATAATGAAAAGTTCTACATTGTTTTTGGCATTCGTGCAGTTAAAAGTCAAATGCTCTCCTTTTGCAATTTTTTTCTGAAAGTGGACCAAATCTACTTCTATGGTTTGATGCTTCAGCAACTTCAGTAATACATATCAAATTACAGCTGTGTATCAAGGACAGTAATTTCAACATATTCTAGAAACTGTTAGCATTTAATGTGGCCTGATATATCTGTGCTAATGCCCATTACAATTGAAGTTACTTCAGAAGATTTTAGGTATTCTGCTCAAAACTGATAAATGTTTGTTTCCTTGGCCTCTTGTTGAAACCCATCAAGTGAAGATATCAGCCAGACAAAATCAGAATCTAAGATTACGTACCTTGCTATGTGCATAAACTACTGAACCTAATAATTTCCAAGTGCCTCCTCTTCGGTCCATGCGCACCATACGAAGGATCTGTAGGAAACGAAGACTTCTCAGTGCTGATGTTGCAAAAATGTTACCCTGAGTTTTTGCAGAAACAACTGCTATTGAAGCGATGAGAACAATGATGTCTGAAAGAAATATATTACAGAAAACATTAATGTCCAAGTACTAATAAATAACATGTACATGTACATGAGCTGAAAGGGAACAACACAGAGCCTCCCGTGGTGGGTGGGAATCTGAAGCACTGAGATTCCTGTTTGAGGTAGGATGTGAGGTCAGGGTTGGTGTCAAAAACTACCTCAGGAGCCTCCATGGTGAAAGCTGAGGGTAGTAATTTTGAGAAAACATATGGATAAGAGGAGCAGTGTTGAAGAAACCTCATGAATGAGCTTTGAAGCTTGATGTAGCAAACTACAAATCAGTAGATGGATCAGAAATTTTTCCCATTATATCTTTCCCCATAGCAACTTTCCTATGAAAAGGCAAAAAAGAAAACAAAGGTAAGAAAAAAATAGAGCAGCCCCAGTGGTGAGAGTCCAGTGGAACCGGACTTACAAGCACATGTATTAATTTCCTGTGAGTACAAACACTATGTGGTTGAGGCACATAGTTTCTGGACACAACTCCCCTGATGCACCTTTTCCTGGAAGGGAAGAAAGACAGTGCTGGGTATTCAGAAGCATTCTTTTAGCTGGCAGCCTGGAAAGTTTGTTGAAGCCCAGCAAGTGTCAAGATTTATTTCTTCAGGTCACAGATTCAAACTGTGAGAGTGAGTTCTGCATGAACTAATTAGCCAGCTACTCTTAGAGCCAGAACAGCATTTCAAGGGAGATGAGGAGAGGAAGCACAGTGATGGCACATGGATACTATGAGAAGGCATAATGTTCTTTTATGATGATTGGAGCAACACATCGGTGTGCACCGAGTGGAAAATCACAGAACAAACTCTGTGTTACTTCATCAGCTCATAATTAATTTCCTGACCTCCTTTAAAAGCTTAAAGAGCCCTTGTAAGAAATACCTGGTTTAAATCTTAGGATTTTGTGGTGTTTGTAAGTTTCTGTGCAAGGATAATCTAAACTCTTGCTTGCCAGTGAGGAACTGAAAGCAAGTTCTTGTTGACGTGAGTTTTGCTTCATTTGTGTTGGTTACAAACAGTCAACTTGTCCCAAGTGTAGCTCCTGTAAGTCAAGAACGACCAAGTAAGTGAAAAGACCCCACATAGGCAAGCAGTGAGAGAGACTGGCTGTACCTACAAGCAGAAGACTTTTTCTTTAACCTGCTCCAGTACAGTAGGAAGTAGCCTTGGTTCATTCTGTCCAGCCACCAAAGTAAGTTGAGGTCCAACACTCTTGCTTGCAAACATCCTGGGTTTCTCTGAACTCACCTATGGATGGCTTTGTCCTCTTACTACAATACTAAGTATTGTATACTAAGTATTGTAGTAAGAGGACAAACTGTACTAAGGTACAGACAACCTGTGGTTTAAGGAGTGTCCTGTTAAATTGTGGAAATCCTTGTCACAAGATGCTAAAAGTTTACATAGGCTTAAAGCCAGCAGGATGATCTCATGGGAGAAGATTTAATCCTGGGCTAATTAATACCAAGAACCCAGTTCTGGCTCATCTCATCTTCAAGTAGAAGGCTGGCTGAGGCTGAGAGACTCTTATGGAGAAATATCGCTGTATGTTTGCCCTGCTTGTGTAATCTTCCCTGACTATCCACTGTTGGCTAGTGTCACTGTTGGACATAGTGTTAGGCTAGGCTGACCTTCTGCTTGTCTTATGCTCTGACATTTTAAAATGCCTTTGGCTACTACATTGGTGGATCATAGGTGGCTGCTATATAATTGGCTACCAAAAAAGCTGGATTTGCTTCTAGATGTAAATCCAAGAAGTTCAGATACCAAGAAGAGCCAGAAAAGGATAAAGTATCCTAGGGCATCTCTGCACAGTACCACTCTCAAGAGCATGACAACCAAATGCAGGAGGTCTGGGTAAGAATTCAGAAATAGGACAACTGGCCAGGAAAAGTTAAAGACATCACAGATTCTAATGAAGATCAGAGAAACAGATAGGCTGGGATTCAGCTCCATGTGAAGACATTCAAATGTAGGTGTCTACATGTGAAGCACGTGTCTAAATTCCCCATGCAGCACAAGAAAATCACGTCAACCAAGAGAGGTGCAGCTAATCCTCAGGAAGGCTCCTGCTGGCTGCTCAGCTGACTCATGCTCTGGGTTTAGTACAAAGAATTTATTTGTCCAGTGCCATTTGAGATGCCTTAAGGTATCTGAGACATCCCCTAGGTCCGGCCACTGTGCTCTCAGACCTGGGAGGGTTGTGCCCTTCAGGAGAAGTCACTGGAGAGCCGTGAATATCATGTAACAGGGGACACCTCTATGTACTCTGCTGAACTAAGCCCTAGATCTCGACCAACTATAGTGGAAGTATAAACAAGTAGCACACATGCACCCACCTATGAGCAAACTTCTATATTTAGGTGTGTTTATCTGCATCTAAGGCTCACACAGAGCATGCTGGAAAGTCTTGAGCAATATAGACTGTTGAAGAAAGAGTGCCCCTGGTAGCTAACATGACAGCAAGGTTAGCTTGTCTTGTCCCATGCTGCTCTGAGCAGAGCAGCAGTGTAACAGCCATTACTAATTAGTGGTGACTGGCTCGCAGCAAAATGGATATTGTTAGAAAAGCAGCATGCACTCCTGAAAATCATTCTTAGAACTTAAAAAAGAGTAAGGACACCCAAATATTATGAATTATGCATTCAGTCCGGAAATTATTAAAGTGCTTACTGGGGGTTTTGGTTACCCTCAACCACTCTCAATAGGACAGTTTTTACAAAAGGCAATGATTTGCCCCTGGCCTTATTTCTGACCATTTCAGGAGCTCTGTCAGCTTTCCTTATAACATGAAGTTTCTTTTGGGTCCCACACTGAAAAAAATTAAAATTAATTCAGTTTTGCCAGTACCACACAGCATCTGCCCTCCACTACTGGGAACCTCTGCCCCACTGAGGGTCTCTGGTCCCCTCTGACTGTGAGAGACAAAGAAGCCAACAGCAGCATAGCTCTCTTTTCCCTTTTTTAAAGTATTGGTCCAAGGGAGTCATCTACTGTGTATACCTTTCCAGATAGAGGGTAGGGATGGGGAGAAGAAATGGGAGAATAAGATGAGGAAACAGGGGAGCAGAAAACACTTTGGCATATGTTTGAAAAACAGATGGAGGGAAAAGAGCCTTGCCCGGCTGCTGGTGTTTTTTTTTCACACCATACCTTCCCATCATCTTCACCTCTTCATAATATACACCACCCCCCACCCCCACCAGCCCCCCTCCATCCTCAGGCTGGGAATAGGGAAGGAAAGACTGTGTACATTGCCTAAGGCAGCCCTCCCTGGCTGTTTCCCGCAGAAGTAGGGAAGGCAGGCAGGCAGATTATTTCAGTGTAGTTTAACTTGCCAGGAACAGGTGTAAGATAAATCAAAATAAACCCTGTTTGGAATGAAATCAGAGTCCAAAGAAAAGTTTGCAACAGTTGAAAGTCACTTCTGAATATGTTAAACTTGCTTCGTTTTCTTATCTAAGCATACCTTGGAAAAATGAAAAGTACTTTATAATTCTCTCCCTGCCACATTTTTATCCTCCATACCTGAGGTGCCATTTGCCCTCTTTTAAGCAAGAGAGCAAAATATTCTTCTGAACTTCCTTTCATATTCCACTTGAAATTAGCTAAAATCTCCATGGTATTTCTGTATTTTAAGAAGGTTTTAGAAAACTTCTATCAGTATTTTTCTCTTTGTCTTTTAGTGGCAAAACGGGGAAATCAGGAAGAATTAAATAATAGCGATATTTCAATTAATTTAATGGGGACTGTAATTTAACTCTGTATCTTGCTGCAAATCAACAGGAAAGTTTGGGGTGTGAGAGTCAGTAATGAGCAGTATAATCCCAAACTTGTCTGTAATGACTTATTAGAAGACAAAAATTTCTGATGTACATCTACTTCTTTGATTTCTTCCAATCAAATATTTTGCATACGATCTTCCACAGTGTTTAATTGTCTCTTCAGCTATGATGCTGATTTTATTCACTCTGTAGAAATGTCTCTCATATTTTTATCCTTGCAGATATTGTCCTCTGGTGTTAACTCCAGTCTGAGATTTCAGATCTTCTCAGTAGCTTTTGAAATATTCACTTCCGAACACTTCATTTAAAATTAAATTTCAAAGAATGAATTCTTCTACTTCAGACATTTTTCCTAGTACCTCTCAAGAAACCCCTGAGATTAAGTGAAAGTTTTGTTAATAGTAATTTATGAAAGGCTTTTTCAGTTGACAGCCACCATGTTAACAACTGGGAGGCCCCCTGAAAAATAAGATGAATCCAGAACTCGAGTAATAGATTACACTTGTATATTGTCCAATCTCACTAAAAGAGTGACATATAAGACAGGTAACTGAAGCCCAGTAATGAAACAACCTGAAACCTGAATAGCTCATGAGAGATGTGCCAGTCTGACTTCCCCACTTCACAGCGCAAGGCCAGTGTTGGGCTGCCTTACCCTGTTCAAACTTGGTCAAACACTCTGGACCACTTGGGTCACCCATGGAGGTGTGATTAGCATTTCTAAGCTATAAACACTTCTAATGGCAACTATGTGACTGGGAGATTAGTAATGATAAAAAAGGAGTCATCACAAATCATCATAATGGATTGGATTGCTTCTAATAACTTTTTCAATGTAACTTTCCTACTATGAACTTTTTGGATGTTGTGAGATTTTATAGTATTTAATGTTATCATGCTAATGGACCCAATTATATAGAGTGAACACAGAAGCATTACTTGGATATTGCTATAAATTCACAGAAAATTCTCCAAGTTTACACATTGTTGTTAAGAACACGCAGGAAACTGAAATGGCTGTCAATACTGTGTCTGCTCTGGCTACAGAAGAGTACACAGAGGCAACAAGCTAGGACAAGAGTAGGACACATCTGCCCCCAAAACTGCAGGAATAAGCAGAAAATCTCGACTGTGGTTTATCTAGCCTTCTGCTGTATTAAATCACAAAGGAAATTAACTGGCAACCATATGACCAAATTTA